CGCAGTCTATTCAAAATTACTGGTTTCATGAAGTAGTTGAACACACGTGAAGTGGTGAACTTCGCTTCAGCTACGTGTTTGTACCTAGAAATAGCTAGTCGTCTATTTTAGCATCTGACCTAATTCTGTCTTTGCAATAATGTAACAAAAATGGAAATAAAACAAACAAGAAATCACAAACCTTGTGTCATTTTCGCCTTAAGAGTACCATGGCAATAAATATGTGGAAACATTTCTTTCCACAATTATACTCCACTTATGCAACTAAAGAAATAGGCCTAGCAAGTTGAGTGATTTTCTCGGGCTTATGAATATAACAGAACCATGAAAAGGCTTCTTAAAATGTACCGCATGCAATTGTCAATGTATTGATAATTTTATATGGAAAATATAAATATGGAAATACATATTTCCTTTACAATATTATTATAACATGATAAGAACATTTATGGTAAATGGAAACGTAACAGACAAGAAAAAAAAACGTATGCGAAACTAATCTATTTACTATACTTATTCCATAGATTATTTTTATTTGATTCAAGCATTAATAAAAATTATATCAATATATATATATAGCAAGAACCAAAAAAACGTATCTCAAACTCGGTCAACTTCGTAACATCTGCGTTGTTTCTGTAAAAAATGAAAAATAGCACCAAGTTATACAGTAATATAGTAACAATAACAAACTTTAATACTAATAAAAATAATTGTTAATAAACTAATGTTACAGTAATTTAAATGACAAATTGGCTGGTTTTTCCAGATACAATGTAAATAAAAAAAATAATATAATAATAATAATAATATATAACATCATATATTTTAGTATTTATTTTATTTGCTGTATTTGTTATGTACAGTAGTAGAAAGCGTAGGATTCATAAAACGAAAATAAAAACAATAACAAACTTTAATACTAATAAAAATAATTGTTAAACTAATGTTACAGTAATTTAAATGACAAATTGGCTATTTTTTCCAGATACAATGTAAATAAATAACAATAATAATAATAATAGTAATAATAATAATAATATTAATAATTATATATATATACATAACATCATATCATATTTTAATATTTATTTTATTTGCTGTGTTTGTTATGCAGTAGAAAGCGTAGGATTCATAACAAAACGAAAATAAAAACCGTCCGATAATATTAATTGACAGTTTAGTAATAATAGTATTAATTTTATTTGCTTGTTGTTACTTATTAGAAATACAACAAAACATAAATAAAAAAAATATGATAAACCGATTGACGAACTTGCAATGATAATTAGGCATGGTTATATTAAATTTAGCGTTTCGAAACTCCATTGGCGCTCCGTATATTTGTTGAAAACAAACCGCGACCGAAATGAAGCGCGACCGAAACGAAGCGCGACCGAAACGAAGCGCGACCGAAATGATCTGTATTCGCCTCTATAGGGCATACACCAAGCCAAAACATGTCTTTCACAGTCGTAGAGTGCCATTTCCGGCCATCCACACACAGGTCCCTACATTTTAAAAATCCCATTTGGGAGGCGGGGACACCGCCATTTAAACTCCCCCAACTCAGGCATACTACAAGCTCAATCCTCCCTGTCAGACAGCTTACACGGTACTCTAGCTGTACAGCTTACAACCTACACGGTACTCTAGGCCTGGTCTAGGGATTCCCTGGCCCTAGCTAGCCTAGTGCCGCCACTAAACCTACCTTACCTCTAGGCCTAGGCTAGGCCTAGCCTACTTTATTAGGCTAGCCTACCCTAGAGGCATACATAGGCCTAGGCCTACACTGCAGTATTTATTTGGTCCATTATTAGATTAGTAATTCTGGATGAATTTTGGTCGTTTCGTGAGAAAATAATTTGATGTTATGATCAAGACTTGCATCCTGGCAGGCACTGGGTTTGGAAGCCAGGCCTAGGCAAAGAAATAAGAGAGCCGGGCGAGGCCCTAGCCTAGGGTAGGCTAGGCCACTTTCCAGCTACCTAGGCCTAGGCCGTAGGCCTAAAATATGAAAGCAAACAAAAACATAATTCTCATTCACTTAAATTATGTTTACACACATACCGGCATTTTAAACTGGTGCGTTCTTTTTCGGATGATACCTTTCAATAGTACAATCAGTATGCTGAACCCTCGTTTTTACAAGCAGCTGCTGAAATTTTCTCAATCCTCGTCGTCGCGTTTTTGTTGTGTGATATATCGGCCGGTGTGCGTGTTCTGCTGATTACTCAACTGTATCCAATAGAAATAACAAGAGGATTTAACACCCCCCAAACTCCACCGACGACACAATATTAATATAGGCCTACTGTAATAAAAAAATATATATATATAAGTAAGTCTACACAAGCTATAACACTACGATTTTTGTACAACTCAATGTGTTTTTCTTCTTCCATGCTACCAGAAAATCTGATAGCTGAAGATAAATCAAATAACTAATTGATAAAAAAGACAATCGCCGATAGATTTTATCATTGTCCTACCCTGGCGTACATATCGAACACTATAGATTTCTATTGCAAATATTTAAACAATATTTCTAGTTAAGTTACCGAATGATTAATAGGACCCAAACAAATATATCTGTTGTGAACTTTGTTTCAGTTACATGTAGTTCCCCTTGGTAACATTTCAAGGACTCACTAGAACTTTGCCTAAATTCAAGGGCAAACTTGACAATCACAATTTGGCCTACTGCAGAATACCTCTATTTTGATTTGATTGATTTGTTTGATATCAACAGAACAACATCACAAAACCGGAAAAACAGAAGACAGAGAAACAAATATGAGAAAACAAGCAAGTCATCAATGTCTCGGGTAACCCTAAATCCCGACACGGGATTTATTTCCAGAGGGGTCCCAATATACACAAAACAAATTACAAAAAAATAATGGATATCAAAAATTCATTAAACAATAACACAAGAACACCGAGTAATAAAAAATAACAAGAACACCAAAAAAAAGTAATAACGGTAGCTACGCAGTAAATAACAACAGCCTAACTAACAAAGCTCTTGCGTTATAAAGGATCACAATCACAATACGATTTATTTAATCCCACACAAATAATTAAAAACATTTATATTATTATATTGTTATTATTATTGCAACAACCATAAAACCTTGAATAGGAGCCAAGGTGGGCTTCATCGGGAAGCCCCCCCCCCCCCTACCCAGCTAGCAAAGCGACGTTGGCCCAACGTTGGTAAACGTTGGCCAGCGTCGGGGTCGGATATCTGATGTTGGTACGACGTTGGTGTTTGGTTGCAAAATTTGGTCGGAGAGGTAACGTCAAACCAACATTGGAATTTCACATTGGCACAACGTATGAATATGTCGATTTTCCGATGTCGTCCAACGTTGGTAAGCCGTCGTAAATATTCAGTCTGACTACGGACGTTGGTACAACGTCACGATTTGTTACTGGCCCGACGTCGGCAAACTACTAAAAAGATGGTTGGGTATTACCGTTGGCCCAACGTTGGCTAGTTTGTAAATATTAGATGTGATTGTAGACGTTGTCTCAAAGTCATAGTACGTTGTTGGCCCGACGACGGTAAACGTTTGAAATGGTGGTTGGTTAAAACCGTTGGCCCGACGTTGGTTAGAGGTTGTAAATATTAGGATGTGATAACAGACGTTGTCGCAACGTCAGAGTACTTTGTTGGCCCGACGTCGGTAAACGTTAGTGAAGGTTGGTTACAACCGTTGGGCCGACGTCGGTTAGAGGTTGTAAATATTGGATGTAATTAAAGGCGTTGTCGCAACGTCATAGTACTTTGTTGGCCTGACATCGGTAAACGTTTGAAATAGACGTTGGTTACCACCGTTGGGCCGACGTTGGCCAGAGATTGTAAATATTAAATGTGATTACAGACCTTGTCTCAACGTCACAGAACGCTGTTGGCCCGACGTCGGTAAACGTTTGGAATGGAGGTGGTTACAATCGTTGGTCCGACGTTGGTTAGAGGTTGTAAATATTAGGATGTGATTATAGCTACGTTGTCCCAACGTCACAGTACCTTGTTGGCCCGACGTCGGTAAACGTTAGTGGAGGTTGGTGACAACAGTTTGGCCGACCTTGGTTAGATGTTGCGACAACGTCTATAATCATACATAATATTTACAACCTCTAAGAAACGGCGGCCCAACGGTGGTACCCAACATCTATTTCAAACGTTTACCGATGTCGGGCAAACAAGGTACTTTGACGTTGCGACAACGTCTATAATTATATATATTATGGAGGTGGTTACAACCGTTTGGCCGACGTTGGTTAGAAGTTGTAAATATTAGATGTGATTATAGACGTGGTCGCAACGTCACAGTACGCTATTGGCCCGTCGCGACGTCGGTAAACGTTTGAAATGGAGGTTGATTACAACTGTTGGTCCGATGTTGAGGTTGTAATAAATATCAGGATGTGATTATAGACGTTGTCCCAACGTCACGGTACTTTGTTGGCCCGACGTCGGTAAACGTTAGGGGAGGTTGGTGACAACAGTTGGGCCGATGTTGGTTAGAGGTTGTAAATTTCAAACGCTTACCGACGTCGGGCCAAAAAAAAAAACAAAAAAAAAAAAAAAAAAAAAAAAAAAAATTGGTTCGTGTGGGAATCGAACACACAACCACCAGGTTTGATATTCATTATCCACCATCAACTAAACTGCCTTAAAAAAATGGTTTGTGTTGGAATCGAACACACAACCACCAGGTTTTGCTATTCATTATCCACCATCAACTAAACTGCCTTAAAAAAAAAATTTAATTAAAAAAAAAATGGTTCGTGTGGGAATTGAACACACAACCACCAGGTTTCCCGTAACATGATTAGTATTTTTTTCTAATTTGCATAATGAATTTTTCAAACATTTTTGTCTATTTAAAAAAAAGTGCGTAAGTTATGGAGATGGTAACAATAAAAAATATCGATTATACATTTAATTCTACATTTTTAGACAAAAAAATAAACCCTCTTGGACCACGGCCCATTTTTGACACCATGACCATGCGTAATATTAACCTGCAGTGTATATATACGAAGACAGTACCCGAAAAATTCACATCAAATTGTAACCCTTAAATTAAAAGTGAGAACATCAATTTTTCTAAAAGTACGCATGTGCTATTTCCCAACTGAGGAGCAATTTTTTCAACCATGGTAAAAAAAATGTGTTGCACCCCGCCACCATGGTAAAAGAAATGTGTTTCACCCCACCACCCACCCACGCGCACTCTTATTAAAATGGCCGGACCATTTACAAAATGCTTCAGACGGCTACCGGTATGACGTTCTACTACGACAAATGCTCATTTCGATATCCTTATGGTTCTTGGAATACATCTTGATCGGGGAAGCAACCTTGTGGTTTCAGAGGCAAAATAGCTATAATAACAATTCACCAAAATTCTTCAAATATATATATCCCCTAGGCGGCTGGTTCCCCAGCCAAGTGAGGCTCACTTCGTTCGCCTAGGCCCCTCCCCCACCTTCCCCCGTCGGTGTCTTCTTTAGCTGTCTCTTATACCCCCTGTCGGGCAGATCCTGACGCAATCACTGGAAACAAATAAAATTAGGTTATTTCTGTTATTAACGTTCAATGAAAAAAGAATTAAGATCGTTATTAAATAAAACCTACTTGTTATATAAGTGATGTTATAGACTGTTAGGCCTACTATATTTTTACCAGTTTATATTGTTCGTCAAATAAGTTTGGGTAATCCCTTGCTATACAAGAAGAATAAGAAGAATAGGAAGAAGAACGAAAGAGAGACGAGGGAGAAGAATAACTTTATGATGAATTTAATTATGTTTGCTGATACTTTCTTTATCTAGCTTTAACGCTCAGTCACTATTTAAAAAAAACTTCACCAAAATATTCGAAATCCTTCTGTCTTTTATTAAAGAATGCTTTTGTCAGTATACATGTCGCTCTATTTTTGTTTTATTTTACATAATAAATTCTTTTAACTACAACCTCACAGCTCCTAGAAATTTCCCCCAACCCCTCCGCCCAAGTAATAACGTTTCAGGTGGTATTTATGTGACGTATATATGTTTTCGTGCACCGTCCATATTTATTTTGACTTATTGAATAGTTATTGTGCAATTTTGATACACAGTTAATATTTATTAATGAATATTTATTTTTTTAATTGTATGATCATCTATTTTTAAGTAGGTTTCCTTATTATTTTCCATTTGTCATTTTGTGTATCTAATGTAAATATAAACATATAATCAATTAGGCCTAGGTTTTTTTATTCAATTTGTATATAGCTAACTTTCCTCATTTATTGAATTGTATATCCATTAATTTATTGATTTGCCTAATTTGTACCGTACATTCAAACTGTAATTCATCCTGTGCTGCTATATTTTGAATTTTATACGTGAATGAATAAAAGATACCGACCAATTAATTTGTAACGTGTCCTCCACTTGTATATATAAACTTTACTGTATATTTTTGTAACACGACGTTTTCTGGTGCATTTCAAACATTCGAAATATTATTACTTTAAAGTATATTTGTACATTTCAATTTTCCTTAAATTTGCAGTAAAGTCACACCTGGTAACTTTTATCCTGTCTTCCTTTTTATATCAGTTTGTACCAACTTTAAAAATTGCCCTTTTATATTGCTTTAGTTTACAGTCGCTTATGATTTTCTTAGTACTAAAATATTTAATAAAAATATAAATGAACATGCGTTTATTGTGGGCCTGTATTTGAAATTTTTGGAAGAATCTTGTATTGCATGATTAATATATCGAAAGTATACATATATAT